TTTGCTGGCTAACTTCCTTTTTTTATGGACAGACGCTTTTTTGGTCTGGACATATAAAGCCATCACTGTGTCTGCCGTTGTTGCCACTTACCTATTTAACATCATAAAAGGAAAAAAGTGTTACTTATTAGTTATTTTCAACTTATAACTTATAACTTAATAGAAATTTATATATCCACCTTGAGTTTGGGGGAATGGGTGTCAAGGCTGAAATTTGTATATTTTAATATTCTTTTATTCCATGTTTACACTGTTAACAGTTGTCTTTCCATATGTCAGCCATTGCTGGCTTGTTTCAGTTGTTATTTCCAGTAGGGCTTTGGTATCTCTATCACTCTCTCTCTCATGTGGGCTGCTATAATATATGTTAATGTTGGGAAGCAGGGTTTCTTCTGCCTTCTACCAGTATCTTTCTCTCTCCTTGGGTTTTGTGGCAGTTATGTTAGTTGATTTATTCAGATTAATCATTCACTGAATTGTTGCTTTTTTTCTTATAGAGTAGCTCCTTTTTACTTGGGTGTACCGGAAATATGATGGTATTTGATGTTTATTTTTGTAAATATTTGTTGAAACTTTAGATATTAAAAGTTAGAACTTGATTTAAGTTAGAACTTTATTTTTCCATATACAATCATCCTGATATAAAAAGAGGGGTTTAATCACAGTGAGTGTTTAAAAGTGCCTTTATTTGCAGAAGTATGTGCCTTGAGTTATAATTTTTGTCTGAAAATAGTTTTTTCAGTTAGATGGCGAAAAGTTTGCAAAAGCTATTAATATAGGAGTTAAGTCACATGGCGTTAAGGTGTTAAGGGAATGAGCAACTAAAGTATAACTATTAATTGGGGTGAAAATCCGATAAAATATTTTGAAAGTTTGGGCAGTTGTTTACATTTTATCTTTGCAAAATGAGCCACCTACATAGTATATATCTGCCAAATATGATTGACATCCCATAGGAAATAGATATGAAAAGATGGAGGTTGGATTGAAGTTCAAACTTTTGTTGACTTCAAGTCAATATAATCATTTATCTTTTGATAGGTACTTGTCTTTTTGATGGTGAGTCTTATTATAACAATACCTGCTGATATGTATGGCTAGTGCTTACATGGTTCTGCTATAAAACAGAAAAAGTTTGAACTGCAAACATATAGCAATATCGGAAAATGTAAGTCTGTGGACTGATTGTTATTATTTTTCTATTGCAGAAGAAGCACGTTGTTGGCTTCAAATGCCCCACAACTGCAGCCTGTAAACATCTGTGGCGATGTGCTGTGGAACAGCAAGCTTTCTTTACGTAAGTATCTAATACAGAACACATTGGAGTTCTAGTGTTTTTTGCTTTGCAGTGTTTTATATGAACTAACTCTTAACAACAGTTTCAGTACACCATCAGACAATTCATATACCCACTTGGTGTATTATTTCAGGCTTCAGTATAATAAAAAAAGTGAAACTTTTTCAGTAGAACCATTTTAAATTATCGTGCCTAAAACCATTAAACAAGATGCAAAGTGCAGATAAAACTTGCAAGTTTTGCATGCAATTTTACATGATTTTTAAACAAATTGACACAGAGGCAAGATTTAAATCTTTACAGATCTTTAAACTAACAGTCAATACTTTAAATTGATCCATTTAATGATTATGTTGATATTTAATTTTTGTCACTAATAGCACATTATTTGCCAAATAATTGCAATTTACAGCATTAGAAAATGATGAATTTTTCTTTTGTTTCCAATCAGCAAGATGCTTATTAATGATATTTAATTTTATTAGTTTTGTTGCATTTCTTTTACCCCCTTGTCAGCCTTCCTTCAGCTTCCCAAGCTCCCAAAGTTTATTCTGGGGGAGGACTATTCAGGAGAGGATCCAAATTCAGATTCAGGTAGCTCATGATCTTTCTTTCTCATCTGTTATCAAGTGAGAACCACTAAGTGCACTCCCTTTTTTTATCATGTTTTAAAGACAGTTCATTTCCAGGAAAAGGTTTGTGGAATGTAAAAAAAATGCATCAATGAGCAACATTCATAAAAAGATGTTGGTTGCTGGTATTGATTTGTATAAAAAAAAGGCTGAGTTTTTCTACAAAAATATTTGGTTTGAACTTAGAAAAAGCTTTAATATAGTAACCTGTGTGAAATAGAGCACATGCAGACTAGTAGAATATAGCAAAGTGTTCCGAGTGTGTGCTTTGTGTGTTATGCTGCTAAAACTTTACCTTGTAGTGGGCGTTCTCAAAGAGAGGTGCTTGCAGATAGTGAAAACATCAAAAGAGATAGCCCCACTTTCAGTAGGTAAGTATGTGTCATATAGACTAAAAAGAATGTCAGTGCAGTGGTTTGTGCACAAAGCTTATATTCTTATTTGCAGGTAGGGGTGGGGGATGGTTTATTTCTGAGCATTTAACCATAAATGGATTTATTTGAAGTCTATACAAGCAGACACATATCAGATAAGACAGGCAGAAACCTGGACTAGAACACACACAGTGACTATAATTGTTGTATTCAGTTGGCAACAAATTGTTGAATTCATTCCCTTAACAGCAATGTTACTGGAACTGAATGAAATAGCAAGGGATTTTTTTTCCAAAGGAGAAATGTTAAAAATAACAAGGAAGATATTGAGAATGATGGTTTGTTCAGTTGATTTTACCTTAGTTACGCCAATTGCTATTCCTTAGTGTGCTTTGCATCTCTCTGCTTGAATTTCTATGGAAATTAAAGTGTTATTGAAAATGGTTTAGAATTTTTTTTATTACTTTGGTCAATATAGCACTAGAGCTGAGTAGTTTGTAACATTTTTTGTTACAAATTTGAAGCTTGTGATTGACAGTGAAAATAATAATCTTATCTTTTTCTATTTATCTTGCACTTTTTTCAGGTCATCTTCCAATCCAATAATTGTTAGGAACCACAGCAAGAAACAGCAGAAGGAGAACACGTTACCTATTAACTTTACTCTGAGTGCTGATGCTTGTAAGCTTATAATTTGATAGAAGTTCTATCAGTTAAATATTGTTTTTCACATTACTGTAAAGAAAAGTTGGGACATTGTATGAGCAGTGTTTAAGGTAAAATTGATTAATTCATTTGTTTTAATCTTAACTGAAGTCTTAACTTAAATCAAGATTATAGACAATTAATGTAAATGTAGTGTAAAATGTATGTTTTAAAGAATAAGGAAGCCCAGAAAACCACACCACTCTCTGTTGGCCTGTTATCTTATTGCTCTTTTTCAATTCTTTTAGCAGGTGATAAAGCAGATGAGTCTCGCGACGCATCCAGTCCCGCCACCGTTTCTGAGTCTGTGGACATCACTTTGGACTCCACATTACCAAATCAGACAGAGGTGACCATAACCAGTGAAAACAGCCCCTATGAACCAGATGAGACCATAGTTGAGGGATCCTCTGATGTCCAAGACGCTTCTCCACCAAACGACCTACTGGAGACAAAAATACGGGATGCAGAGAAGGAGCTTGAAGAGCTGCGGAACCCACCCGTCTGCAGCACACCCAACCACTTAAATGAGGTGGACAGGGAGTCAGAAACATCCTCAGTTGAAGGAGAACCAGCCGTTGTGGAAGAAAACATCCATGAGAAAAATAATGGGAAACTGACCAATACAGAGCTCCCCAAGGATGTGGTGCCAGCACCACCTGCAGAGAGGTCTGGGACAGCCACATGTTGCAGATACTTGACTGTCAGTTTTGTGTTGACTTTTCTGCTGCTATTTGCAGCTGTAGTGTTCATCATGGAGGCCAGTGTTGAGAGTGAGTTGCTAACGGAGATCAAAAGCCGAGAAGAAGTGATTGATTTCAGAGTGCAGTACTACGATCCTGCTAAGGCCTATGTGGTCAGCTTGGCTGAAAAGGGCCTTGCATATTTCCAGTCCTAGGCTCAGCCCGTAAAACTGTGAGGAGCGTTAAAACCAAATGGTTTGGCAGTGAGTTCACATTACCATAGCTGGAATATACATTTTCAAATAGACAATTTAAAGATAAAACAACAATTGTGACCAATGCATCTATACTTTGTAGCATCTTAATAGACTATTTTGACATGTAATTTTAATATCTGATGTTTAGTATAAAGAATGACATGAGATTCATATGATATACACGTACTATTGTATACCTTTATTATGTTTCTCTTTTAAAATAAGCTAAAAGGAGCTTTTAACCAGCAGCTCACTGCCTTAGACAGTTTAATTGTCTTGGTAGTAGGTTTCGTATTGCTGAACCATGGTCATTTTCTGCCCTATAGACAATTCCTTTTAATTTGGGATAATATAGATGTAGTTTCTGAGCTATTTTGAAGTATTTCAGGCACAGAATTCACTAGAAATTGGTAAAAATAGGCAGTGCATTATTAATGGTTAAAATTAGCATATCTAGGAAAATTTTCATCATCATTTTTACTACTTTGAAATTGCATTCTTCAATGAAATTTTGAACCAATCATTGAAACCTAAAGTGCGTTAAATAATGGAATAGATTGTAGATAAGGATAATACCAGGAACTTGAAGTCCACTTTGTCTGTACACTCTTTTAATGATATTATCTTCTGGATCAAAAATACCAAGTCATACGGTGACATAAATTATTTTTAAATAGTTTGTTGTAATGTTGTGTTCTTTGTGTTATGGTCTTCGCTTGCACCACATTCCAAATAATAATTATTTAGAAAATGCTCTGAATTAAAATGTGGTAATATGCCATCTTAATATTTTACACCTGTGTGCATGCCAGTACGTATCAATCATTATTTGCATTTAAATTTTGGTTTTATAAGAATATTTTTTATATTAGCTTTGATTGTAATACATGTATACATATCCTGATGTTGGAAGCTTATAATTCACTTTTCCTTGATTGCTTTCAAGCTTTGGCTTAATAAGTAATGTTAAAGCTATTTAGAGGCGTAATTAGATAACAGAATGCTATGCATGTTAAACTGCAAGTTGTAGCATGTTTTAATTTATTGTGGAAAATTTTTAGTGAGCTCTGATCAAATATATATTCAAGGTTAGTGAATGAAAAGGAGTTTAGACTGATCTTAGTGATTTTTGATCAAGTTTCTCTAGTATGTATGTCCAAAGGAAAAAAAAAAGGCGAACATGCAAGTTGAATATGCTATCAGGATTCTTCATATTTTATGGGGTATATAGACAGTAAGGGTAAATGTGGGTTTTGAGATACTTTTTGGAATTGTATATTGCTTTTTTTTATTTATTTATTTATTTTTTTTATTATTTTTTTTTTTTTAGTTTTGAAATACCCTTGAAGTTCAGCACATGCCTTCAGAAGTTAAACATTTGAAACATAGCTACAGTTTGGAGTGGAGTTTGCTTTATGCTAATGCTTGTTAGCTATGTACTGGGGGTTCATGATGTCAGAACACTTGATGGAACAAAAAACTGGAAACCAGACCCTTCTTCCCAATGCATGAAGTACATATCATCACCAGCATTGTTGCTGTAGTGGTGTATATATATATACAAGTCTACTCAAAATGTAGGGGAAGATGGGACTGAACTAGATCATACTTTTGTTATGTTGTTGTTCTTAAAAGTGTTAAACAAAGCCTTTTCATATCACAGAAATAACAGAGCTTCTGTGTTTTACACCATCCCTTGGTTTGTATTTGGAACAGTGATTCCATTGCTTTTAAGGTGAAGGAGATGTGGTTTGATTCTGTGGACATTCTTTTGTACGGTAGGATACAGATTTAATGTGCTACTTTGATAATTATTTTGGTAATCATCATTTTAAAAACCAATGTTTTAGCATGTTAAGCATTTTAAAGTCTGTATATATTGGTTAATCACAACTGTAACTGTGTTTGTATATTTGGAATTAATGTTCAATTGCTTATTAATAAATGGAGCTCTTTGAAGTGCTTGGATGTTTTTCCCTCATTCACTTTCTTGAGGTGTTGGCCTACTTTACAAGCATGCATTTTGAAAAATGAACATAAGCTGTAATAATTTGCATGATGAGATTATTTGCTTGATTATTTGTGAAAGAGAAACAAGAGCATTGGTTTTTCTGGAATTGGTCAGATTTATTCAAATGAGTCTAAATCTTGCAACTCTGATTAAATTTTCATGCTTGAAATCGAGGAAGGCTCAATAAGCTAGCCACAAAATCTTGATCGTTTTATATCCTGAATACATTGACTCCTGAATACAATGTGACACTTTCTATGTGCAAAGAGTACCTTTACACTGTGCTGCAACTACTGAGCTACTTCAAAGCTTTCCATGCCAATTTAAAGACCAAACCATATTTTGAATACATTGTGTAGTGTATCTGGGACTTGATTCACAAAATCCAAGATTATTTCATACCTCAAAAACAGTTGAAATAAACTGCTGGTAATAAAAAATTGGACTTTACAAGTCTACAATTTTAATTGTTAAAACAAAAACATAATTAAGAATACATTATTACTATTAAGTATCATTATATTACCATATATTGCACAGCTAGATGTTGTACCAAGTACTGGGGGTGGGGGACAGATGAAACAGTTACAGTACAAGTGAATAATTTTATAAAAATTACAATAATTATATTTAGTAAAATGCATCACTCAAGTCAGTCTCGAATCACTGTATTTTATAGTATTCATAATATAAATACTTCTAAATAAAGTCAAAGTAAAAAAAAAATGGTATTCAGCTCAATTTATGCAGAAAGCACCCCCCTCTTCCTCTCTTTTCAATGACTAGCATCCCTAATGCATGATCTGATCAGAACATGTCTCACCATGACGGTATCCCCACCAATTGCTGGTGCAGGCACTCGTGAATTGATCACCCTACAATTAATGATATAATTTTCAAATTGAAACACAGTTGAGAATGTTTAATCTTCAGTGGAAGGGACAAAAGGGAGTATCTATAATCCTTCTATATTATAGGTAATCCACTTGATAATGCTCAATGATAAATGGTTAAAATAGTTAAAAAATACTTGTAATTTCTCACATGCAGACTGTGATACAAATGGTCCTGCATCATTCTAAATGCATTCTCTTTGTTATAAAACAATCATGATAGTTTGGTCCGTTTTTTTCCTCATAGGAATGTACTGAAGTACAATTATTACATGATTGAATAACAATGCAACACTGGTTTAAAATTTGTGGTGAAAGAAAACATCAGCATTTGCTGCATAATTCAAATGCAGGTGGAGCTTTGCTGCCTTGGCTGCAAGAAAAGCTGCACCCAGAGCTCCAGTTTCATGCAAGCGCAGCAATGTGAACTCTGAGATTTTCACATCAGGACGAGACTTCATGCCTTCTAGGAAACCTGAAACAGCACAGGAATCAGCTCCATGTAAACTGTCTAATGCATTAAAAATATAAGCCTATGAATTAGGCACTGCAGGTAACAGTACTTTAGAAAATGTGACTAGCGAAGGTGTTCAGGCCCATGAAATTTCAAAATCACACTTTGAAAATTCCAATATGTTAAAAATGAACATATCTCAAAGAACAGCAGAACTTAAAAATTAACCAATCAAGCTATTTTTTAACCCGATCTGTCTATCAGACCTATGAATTATTCATGCAAGTTTTAAAGCAATATATGGCACGGTTTTCATTTTATTAGTATAACAGTGTGTTATCTCTGAAAGTGCAAGGCAACGCTGACATTTGTGTCTGTAGATCAAAATGACTTGGCACATAAAATATATGTTTTAGACACCAACAGGAAATACACAGGAAGACACATCTTATTAGAATACAAACACTTACAGACAAAGCTTGTATATAAAAAATCAATTAAAAATTATCATTAATAGTAGTTTTAACTACTTATACTAATTGACATGACCTGTAATTTTTTTAAAGTTAAAAAAAATTTCAACAAAAGTTGTAAAATAAGACTGTGATTAGATAACCAATCCTAAAAATACAGAAGCTGTGTTAAAGAAAACTATCCATACCGTCTTTTAAGGCCTCCCAACTCTTCCACACTGAGCCAACACAAACAACAGGTAGTCCACCATCAAGGTTAAGAAGGGCCTTAGCAAAGATAAATCACGTTTAAAATTAAGAAATGCAATATCAAGGAGGTTGAACTCCCAAGACGAAAGTATGTTGTGTCTTGTGCTAACCCTAACATCTCTTTCACATGGAATACACTTAAAATAATATTTGCACCCAGTAACTACATATTTATACCTTGACTTTCTTTGTCCCCAAAGTGCCTATGATATACAACACACATGCTAAGCTTACTTATGCCCCAATTTGGTGTGCCTTTCCATGCACACTAAAAACAGCCATGGCAGGTCATTAGTAAGCACAAATCCTGTGTGAATGAGACAAAATGTCAGGGTTTATCAATGAACTCAACCTAAGATCTTAGACTCAACATATTTCCATCTTGAGAGTTCAACCCCCATATTACCCACAGCATGTGCAGAAGGGGCATGGAGCTAATTATTATGAATTCAAAACTAATTAGGAGATAATACATCAAAATGCTATAATGTTCACCTTGTCTGCCTTTGCAGCCACAGCCAAAACATGCCGAGCAAGGATCTTCCCAGCTTCAAAAAACACATGACAACAGAGAGGATCTTTCTTTTCTAAGGCACCTGAAAAGTTAAAATCATCAAACAATTTAAAATCCACGGTGCTATCACCAAACTATTACAGCTAAGAAAATGGTGATTTGCACCTAGGAGAAACAAGTGTCACTTTTAACAACATGGCTCTGTGTTATTATCCTATTGAAAACTGAGCACTTCCTAAAATATACCTTAAATGATAAAAGAGATCACCTTTAGATAGTTCTTTACTCATGGATGCAATGAAACTCTTGTCAAATTTGGTATAGAGGTGTTCCAGCAAATCCATCTGAGTTTCAATCTGGAAAGGATAGGCACAGTTTTAACTTTAAAACTTAACTTTATAACTTAACATATGGGTACGCTTAAGCTTTATATATACAGACTTGGTCAAAAAGGTTGCCCTACCCTAAACCCCATGTGTTTTGTTAGCAAAAAATCACCTCACATCTGTAAACCATTTTGATCAGTGTTTTTTTTATATTACAGATACAATATTTAACATGACTCATAGTACAGAAAATGTAAAATAATGGTATACATAAGATATACATATTTTATATGATTTATTCAAATTTTGAGCATGTAAACCCTCAAATCTCAGGGATCTGATGTTCACAGATTAATGGTTCTTGAATGGTTCAAAGTTGTGAGGTGATCATTTGTAAAAACATGTGGAATAAGAGACGAGAAAAAAAATTCCTCAAGTCAGTTTTAAATGTGGAATATACAATATGATGTTTTAAGTATTGGCTAAAAATGCACAGTTCTTTATAGAAAGGACAAAATATCTTAGTGTGAAAGGCTCATTCTTAATATAACTTTAACATTTTTCATAATAACTGAGTTCCCATTTATCTAAATGCTTACCTTGAAATGATTGCGCATGGTTTGTTTAACAAAAGTCACATCATATGGACAAGGAAAGAGATTGTCTTCATGATCAAATAACATCTTCAAGGCTTTCTGTGTCATCCAATAAGCTAAAGAAAAGCAGACTGCTGTTTAACACTAGAAAAGCACTCAGAGAGCGCAGATTAGTGCCAAGGACCTTGCACTGATAAACTGTTGCAGAAGTACAGAAGTACAGAAGTTGAGAGGACATCCACTGCACAAGGTCAAGGGCACTGGAAGTACCTAGGTCCTCAAATTCTTGAATCCAGATGGTAATCAGTATCACAGCAAAAATCTAATCGCTAATAAGCAAGCCCATTTCTGACCTTTCCTGAAAATTTTATCAAAATCCATCCAAAACTTTTGGAGTTAGGCTGGTGACAAACAAACAAAAAGATATACTGAGGTGAAAAAGAACACCCTTGCCATCAGTTATTATTACTCTTTTTAAACCTCCACTTGTTTAGGAGGAAATCTGTTGCATGAAATATTTACATGTGCTATAGTGCATTTGAAATATATCATCTACAGTATTTTAATATTAAATATATAACATTAATATATATATATATATATATATATATATATATATATATATATATATATATATATATATATATATATATATATATATATATATATAAACAGAAGACTAAAATACCTTTCTCATAAATTAAAAAAAACAAAGCCTGGATACAAAACACTGTGACAATAACCATGTGCACAATATGCAAGTCAGCTGAACATTTGTATGCACTACAACATGCATGGTAGCTGTGCCATGTGAATAAGCATTGGCATGTTACCTGAACCCTCATCACCCATCAGGTGCCCCCATCCACCACACCTACGTGGCTCCATCTGGGGACGAAACAACACACAACACGATCCAGTACCAGAGATCAATACCAAACCTCCTGGAAATCATAAAACAATGACACATGATTCTCTCTCTGAAAGTATCACTTATAGGAGCAATATATTTACCTCCCCCCTCATCCCCGAGAAGGTGGCCCCAGCCTCCACACCCGGCTGTCTGTCCATCTTTATTGACCAGCACACAGTTAGAGCCTGTTCCTGATATCAAAACAACCCCACCTGGAACAGAAACAGCATGCTTGAAAGGAGTAAGTGGGTTTCAGTTACAGCAAAAAGTATTTAGCTTGCCTTTATATTGTCAGCAAAAGTAGTATATAAAGTATCAGCAGATGTAGTATATAATGCACATATTAATTATAAGCAGGTGTAGTATGTATATATATATATATAGTATGTATATATATATATATATTAGGGTCGGGAAATATTTGAAATTAATTTTGATGAGTTTCTTAACAATCAACACATGACTACATCACTGGTAGATGCAAAAGAAATTGGACAAGCTGTGCAAGAGGAACCTTTCGTGTTGGAATCAACATGGCTTCTTATATCATTGCAATCCATTCTATTCAAAATATTGCACTTCAATTACTTATTGCTAGAGATTTTCAACCACATTAGAAAACAGGAAATTTTAATTTTTAAGACCACAAAGTGCATCGGTTCTTTCAAATAATTGCAAAAAATTATTAAATTGTAAGTTATTCACTGAATACTTTTTCACTAAACTTCTTCCATCAATTAAAATAATTACCTTCCTCTTTAGCTGTAGCCATAGAACCTATGGTGTCATTGCATATAAAGTAGTTTTCGCTTAGAGAGCTGTATTTGTTCTTCAGTGCCTCAATAATTTTCTTCTGTGATTCCTCTTCTCCGCCACCACTTAGGGACAAACCCTGCATATTAATAAGTACAAATTAAGTACAAAATCTTGTAAAACAACCACATTTGAGGGGGAGAGTTATCTGCTTCTTAAAACCTTGGATTCCTTTATCTTTAAAAAGAAACATTTGCTGACAAAGTTTTGATACACACTGTAATCAAAAAAGAAATAAAATATTATTAGTTACGAAATGGTAACAGAGTTACATGTACATGGAGCAAGCATTATCTTACCAAAGCCTTGAGTGGCGTGTTTGGATCTATACCAGCCTGTTTCTTGATATCTAGGGCCAGGTCATAAATCCTCTTCATACATTCTTCTTGTCCTACCAGCTGTTTCATTAAAACAGACATTCTTAGATGGAAGTAAGGATATGATCAATTGGCATCAAAAGCAGAGCATTAATGACTGTTTGGACAGTAACTACTACAGTAGACTACATGTTAAATAAGAATTATACTGAACATAAACAAAATTGATAGCAGAACTGTAGCAACTATATATGTGCCTGTCTGTGGCGATAGCAGTGATGGGTTGAAATTTGACTGCCTAGTGGTACAGAGATGAAGTCCTAAGGACAGCTGTCATTCCATTCATGCATCAACACTAAACCCTAAGCTTGCTCCAGCAAGACAACACCCATCCCCATACTGCCAGGACAGCACAGGTGTACCTGCAGCAGGGGCAGATCTAGACACTTTCATGGTCAGCATTTTGACCTTACATGTCTCCCACTGTGCATGCCTAGGATGAACAAGGCAGATGACTTCAGAACAGCCAGCCACAGCCTACGCTGTTATAGAGATAAAGGCTGCACTGGTGGAAGAATGGAAAAGGCTGCCCCAGGTTCGCATTCTAGGTATCTTACAGTCAGTTTTGAGGGGGTACCAGCCTGTATTGCCACACACATGTATTTCTAAACAATATACTACCATTTTGGGGTCCTCTGGAAGATGGTTTAGAATTTTACACTGACGGGTATCTAGTTTTTTTTTTTTCTGTTGGAAGATGGTCAAAAATTGAAGATGGATCAACAAAGATAATTTGGAAGACTGTTAGAAAATATATCTGAATCTGCCCCAGCATAGATATAAAAAACTTTCTCCTTCTTTTTTGGGCAGAATATCTATCCTTGCACTTCCTCAACAAACCTTATACTTACTATGATAGTGTAACAATACTAGTAGTTAAGTCAACATTACATAGTAATCCATATACATGTGTAACTTACCCAAGGGTTGGTGCAAAGCCCCTCAGACCTGGCCACAACTGTACCATCTAATTTCATAAGGACCATCTTGGAGCAAGTCGCCCCACTGCAAAAGAAAAAAAAAACAAACTTTTTGGATCTTTTGGATATGAAACTGTTAGCCATGGCCTCTACTAGTATATATCACTGAGTGTAAAGATTGCCTCGAGTAGAAAAATAACTAATTAAAATTAGAATATCGTGCCTCACTAATAACCCTGCTTAAAATTACCCTTCAATTCCTCCTACAAGTATGTCCATGTCGAGCTGTAGGTAGAGCTCCCAACTTAACTTCTTGATGTCAACTCCCACTACCGGCACAGATATGTGACCTCAAATTTCCGGTCTGTCAAAACATCGTCCTCAAATGTCCACAAGCATGAAATGGCTGGAGAATCACTTCATAGTTATACCTTAAATATAATTTGGTATTTTCAGTTGGAAAACAACGTAAAGTGTCCTAACATATGTAGGCCAACTGAACGATATCACACCGCTATAAACTAAGCAGAGAGAAAGTTTGGGTGCACGCTACGTCGCTAGAGTCGACGAGCGTCCACAAGATTAAACTAGAGAGAAAACCTATAATTTAACAACAAATGGTTGGGAAATCAGCTGATAAAAGAAGTAATAATCCTAAAATGGGTTGCTGCTCTCATTTACTGAACGATTACACAAATAAAAGTTTGGGATCCGAGAGAGTGGCCCCTCTTACAAAACGGAAGCATGCATGCGCTCCTGGTGGCAGAGTGAATAACCAAAAACAGGAAAAATGGTCATTTATAACATCGTTACCAGGGGCGAATTTAGGGGGTGTCAGGGAGGCCCTGCCTCCCCCCTCTTCGATTTCTAAAAAAAATCACACCAATGGTCCCCTCTTGAAATTTGAATTTTAACTAGCTGAATCATTGTTTTAAACTGTACCAAATGGCAACGTTCGCCTTTTAAAATACCAAAAATTTTCGGGGGGGGGGGGGGGGGGGGTCGGCTTGGCATCCACAGACCCCCCCTTCAAATAATTCTGAATCCGCCCCTGGTTATAACTGGTAAAATGGTGAGTTTTAGCAAGTGTTTTTATAAAATGCACAAAAATGCACACCTGTTTTGAAGGGGCCGTAGCAATAGTCCGAAGTTTCAATTGTCCGAATGAACCCCTGGTTAAAAAAAATCAATGAAAATGTTACCGCTTTTCGGACCAAGGTACCTTCGGACTATTGAGACGCCCCCGTTTGAAAACCGTGAAGACGCAAGCAATCGATTAGGTGTGGTGGGTAATTTTCAGTGTTTTGTCTGCTAGAATAGTAGGCCCTACCAATAGCTATAATGAAGACAGTGGCGGATTTAGAGGGGGTCAGGGGGGTCCTGCCCCCCCCCTTCGATTTCTATAAAAAAATCACACCAATGATGGTCCCCTAGCTCTTGAAATTAGCACTTTGACTAGCTGAATCATGCTTCTAAACAGTAGGCCTACCAAATGGCACCGTTCGTCCTTTAAAATACCAAAAATTTTCGGGACCCTTTAATGGGCCCCGGGCCCCACGCCGAGAAGGGGGGGGGGAGGGAGGGTCGGCTTCGCATCCGCGGACCCCCCCCTTCAAATAATCCTGGATCCGCCCCTGTCAAGATGTAGGCCTACACTGTACACCTAGGTAGAGATAGGCCCCCTGTTATGCCTGCGATACCTGACATCTTTTGCCAACTTCAATAAAAAAATAGATAGCCTTATTTATATGTTAACAAACAACACAAGAAGACAAATTTATGCAAGTGCGATTCCGTGGTTCTGAAGACACGTTTGTAACAGTGGAAAACGTGAAGTTTTGATCGGGTATTTCTACATGTAACAGTAAGGGAGAAAATCAAAATGTGTATTTATATATTTTAGCTCCAAGAAATTGCAATTTCACTATTTATCATAAAGCGGCGTTGCGATATATTTGTGAGAAAAAAAAGTATAGAAATATCTCGAATGCCTACTTCCAATCAAGAAGGTGTATAAGACGCACCTCCTTGTCCGAAGCATATTTGTATCCTATTTAAATTGGCAACTTCCCTTTTTCTCAAAACCATATGCATGTGTCGCACATCCTGCATGCTCAAGCAATATAGTGCCATCGTTAAGGCAATTACATTCATAACCTTTGACTCAGGCTATTAGGCTATTTGATTTATGGTCTTACAATGTGCTATATGTTATCCTGTACCATCCTTGCAGTGACTCTCACTTTTGCAGATCATATTTATGTGGAAAACTGATCACAGCTGAAACTGATGTAGTGCGCGAAAAGTAATTGAAGATTTATTTTGTATCACGTTTATAGTGAAATGAGATCTATCACGCACTATCATCTACGTGTGGTTTTCAACTAAATTTACTCTATCTAATTTACCATCTCAGCCGTATCTCAGCCGTAACGGGGATCTTTGACTGTGACAGGTTTTTCATGCTAACAGGACTGCAATATTTTAGACATCTATGAATAAATAATAAAGCTTTAAGAAAATGTGTATCTCGAAAACTACTTATTTGTGAATCATTTACAAAAAAAAAAAAAAAAAAA